GAAGTATCATTGGAAAAGCAGTTTATCTGGGCTGGCAAAAAAGTCCTGCACTATATACCTTGTACTACACGTATTTAGGCAATCTTAAAAGGCTTATATTATTAGCACACCTCTTCACTGGAGTACATTGTATGTTGCCAGCCAGATAAAGCGTCACATTTGAAGATACATAGTGCCTGTGGGACATGATTTTATATTTAAAGCTGAAGGCAGTCTTGGGCAACATTACAGAACTCTTAAGGGCTGCAATTTATTCTTGTGGCTGTGGTTTTATTGCATATATAGCGCACACAAAACATCCAGTTCAGGGCAAGTGAGAATACTGCAGCAAATGAAACATTGCTAGGTGGCACACTCTGTTTCTGTGCTGTCACTTGTCTTATGTTTTTTTTAATATTCTTTGATCCCATTTTTAGTTTTCCTTAAATTTAATTTTAATTTCAGACAAGTGGAGAAGAGGAGGTTTTAGAGGATGAGGAAGAGGTGGAAGAAGACAGAAAATGTGTAAAAGAAGAGGAAAGTGAAATACAGAAATCCCCTGAACCACCACCTATCCCACTTGCACCCATAGACCTGCCACCCCTTCAAAGTCTCTCACTTTCTGCAGCCTCTTTTATCTGTGAAATGCCAAACTGTGGTGCTGTACGTGTATTTGCTGTCTTTTATCAATATGAGAGGTGTTTGATCCAGTGGATAGGGCATTAGGTAGGAACTCGAGACCAGGATTCAGTTTTTGCCCCCGTCACTGGTCTCTGCTAGATGTCCTTGGGCAAATTCATTTCATTCCTCTGTGCCTCAGTTTCCTCATCTGTAGAAAGGGCACAAATGACATGTAGCCTATGTATAAAGCACTTTGAGATGTATTCATGAAAAGCTTCATGTAATAAGAGCTAGGTATTATTTTGTGTGTTAAAGGAATAAATGAAATAACTGAATTTTTTTAACTTCAGTGGAGTATATTGGAGAGTAGAATTTGGTCAAATGTGTCATTTTTAACCAGTGGTATTGTTGACATATCAGCAAAATGTAAATTGAATGCATGTCTCCTTTCTTTGCTGCTGTTGCAATTCAAGTTTGTTTTCCCCCACCAGGTGTTCAGCTCCAGACAAGCACTAAATGGCCATGCCCGTATTCATGGAGGTACCAATCCAATGACAAAAACAAGGTGTACAGTTTCAGTCGTTAAGCAAAAATCTGGGACACAGAGTGGACACGGTTCAGTTAAAAGCTCACCTGCACACAGCACAACAAGTGGTGAGACGGACCCAACAACAATTTTTCCTTGTAAAGAATGTGGCAAGTAAGTAAATGTTTCTTTATTACTTGTTTTCCCCCTGTATTCAGAAGAAACAGAACCTCAAAAAAAAAAGCGATTTATTCACCAGGTTTGTTTTTAAGGACCATGAGTTTCCTTTGTAGGCAATTAACTGTGCCCTTTCCAAACTCCTACCCTAGTCAGTCATGAGAGACTGGTCTGGATCATGTTTTGGAGCTTGATCATTTGCTTATCACATTCAGTCTCTCTCTGTTTTCTGACTCCATCCACATACAAGGGTTATGCCTCCTGATTCCAGGAGAGGGAAACAGCACTGGCCTTTTTGTTTTCTGTTTCACCACAAACTCCAGGGTGATCTTGAGCAAATTATTTAGGTCCAGATCCAGAAAGCTTAGTAAACTTCTAAATCCTTTGTGGATTTCAGCCTTAGTTTCCTGGTGCCTGAGTTTCTTTGCCTCTTAAAGAGAGGTAAATATACTTCTCTACCATATGGGAGGGTTATGCAAGTACATGCTATGCAGAGCGTGCAGGGCTCAGATGGTATAGTAATAGAGGAGCCATATAAACACCCTAAATAAAAGTGAAACAGTAAGGCCTATATTACTAGGAGGCTGTAAAAACCTAATTAGTACTCTCTGAAATCCTCAAAGTGGGGTAATGTAGATTTCTCTTTACCAACATATGTTTCAAGTCAATGAAGCAGGGCTTATTTATTTGTTTTTCAGTACAGTCAAAATAGAATTTGAAATGGCAATAAAATGTTCCCTTGAAATTTTAGGGTGTTTTTCAAAATCAAAAGTCGCAATGCTCATATGAAGACTCACAGACAACAGGAAGAACAACAAAGGCAAAAGGCTCAAAAAGCTGCTGTTGCAACAGAAATGGCTGCTACTATTGCAAGAACTACTGGGCCAGTTGGACATGGTATGATCCCTCTGGATCATATGGATTTGATTAAACATGTGGAGGACCTTGATGACGATGTTGTTCAGGAGTTAGGTAATGTCATGGAAGAGAATGAAGTCATGGAAGCTGACCTCTTGTTGGATGATGAAGATGCAGACCTGCTGCAGGATGATGCTGAGCTGTAAATACAGAGCTGTCCCATGCAGACAGCTCCTGGATGCATCAGTCAGGAAATCTGAACTACCTGTTTATTTTCCATTGATTTTTTTTTTTTTTAACTACCTGTATAAAAACGGATAATTTCTTTAGTTCAGACCTAGAAAAAATGCTTTTTTCCCATTTTTTTTATCAATCTGTGTTTTGGGGAAAATAAATAATTAGCACAAAGATTCTTATAAGGTGTTTTATCTGGGTTCTGTTTCACTGAGATCTTTCAAAACCACTAATAACAGAGAAGTCTATATATCTATTACTATTTCTCTTCTGACTATTATCAGAGAAACTTTAATTCTGTAGAGTTCTCTTCTCCTATTCTCAGTTGAGCATTACTAAGAATGTGTTCATTTACACTTGTTACTCTGGCCCCCTTTACTAGGTAAGAACTGTTGTCATGCACTTCTGACAGGATAGTTGTCTGCACTGGATTGTACAGTGAGTTTCCAGAAGTAAACGTCATGTTTGGAGATGCTGACTTGATTATTCTTCAGCTTTTTGTCCTGGTTTTATTTGGAACTAAAAAAAAATCTGTCCAAATCTGAAGTAATTACAAGTGTGATTGTATCATGAATATCATTGTACATTTTCAGTTCTACCTTGCCTTAATTTTTACCTGTTCTTGTTATCTGTACCTGCAAAAGGTAATGTTTATACTGTACATATGGAGATTCCACTTAATTGGGTTTTAAAAAAAGAAGAGAGATCCTCGGGCTTCCGAATGACCTAATCCAAGGAATGAAGAAAGATCATGGTGATTCTACTGTGAATCACATCCTATGAAGGGAACACTGGATTAGGAGCTCTGCTTTTGTAATTGGCGTGCACTGGAGATATAACCTGTTGTGCCAATAAATCACACTGTTGAATAGCCATTCCAGAGGCTTTGGGTGGTGGGGTATGACTTCATGCACACAGTGCAGAAGTAGATTTTGTTTAAGGTTCAATGTCAGGAGATGCCCTTGTCCCACAGAGGGAATGGGTTGAGTGATGCTGTTGAATAATAGTGGCATGTTTTGGATTTTGTTTTGTTGGGTTTTTTGTTTGTTTTTTCCAAATCCTTCCTAGGCCCGAAATGTTGTTATTCTTGTGCCATTTTTGAGGATTCACTTTTAATTTCATCAAGTTTATATAAAATTTTTATGGAAAAACAAGGAGACAAGGCTGTCAGTCTTCCTCACACCTCTCTGTAACCCAGCTCTACGCACAAGTTCTCTGTAACCCCATTGATAATTAACTTGATTTGATTTGTTGTGATAGAGACATACTACTGGACTCATGGAGTTTTATTCTCGAGTCCTAAACCAGAAGCAGGTTTAGGCAGCTCATGGAGAGTTTACATTTGACCAATGGTCCTTCCTTACAAAATGGCTAGTTTTTTAAGTTCTCCTTGGAATAAAATACCGTAAATAATATAAAGGCTTCAGCAGAATACTGATACTCTTGTGAATCCTGCACAGCAGAGCAGAACTGGAAATTTTATAGAACATCTTTATGAAAAAATTTCAGATTCTTCCTAAGTAACTAAATCCTTAGATGATGGTGTCGCTATGGACATAGTCTTTCTAGTCTTTAAGAAGGCCTTCAACACTGCCTCTCATCCTCATCAATAAATTAAGTGACTGCGGCATTGATGCCTGCACAGTTGGATAGGTAAAAAATTGGCTGATGGGGCGCACCCAGAGAGTAGTGGTGGACGGGTTGTACTCAACCTGGCGAGATGTGAGCAGTGGGATACCCCAGGGCTTGGTCCTCGGGCCTGCACTGTTTAACATCTTCATCAGCAATCTGGAGGGGGTGGAAAGCACACTGTCCAAGTTTGCTGATGACACTAAGATGTGGGGTGAGGTGGACACACTTCTAGGGAGAGAGAGTCTGCAACTTGATTTAGACAGACTACAAAAGTGGGCAGACGCAAATAGGATGGGGTTCAATGTAGACAAATGCAGGGTGCTGCACCTTGGGAGAAGGAATCCACAGCATACATACAGGCTGGGGAGCTCCCTTCTTGAAAGCACAGAGGCGGAAAGGGATCTTGGAGTCATTATTGACTCCAAGATGAACATAAGCTGCCAATGCCAGACCGCAGCCAGCAAGGCCAGCCATACCTTGTCATTCATCCAAAGGTGCATCTCAAGCCAGTCCAGACAGGCGATACTCCCCCTCTATGCGACTTTGATCAGGCCGCAGTTGGAGTACTGCATCCAGTACTGGGCGCTGCACTTCAAAAGGGATGTGGCCAGCCTGGAGAGGGTTCAGAGGAGGGCCACCCGCTTGGTGAGAGGGCAGCAGGACAGGCCCTACAAGGAGAGACTGAAGGACCTGAACCTGTTCAGCAAGAGGACGCTGAGGGGAGTACCTGATGGCTGCCTACAAGCTCATCAGGGGAGATCAACAGCAAATAGGCAGAGCCCTTTTCTCCCCAGCACCACCTGGGGTGATGAGGAACAATGGTAATAAGCTGATGGAGAATAGGTTTAGGTTAGAGATCAGAAGGCAATATTTTACAGTTAGGGTGGGCAAAATCTGGAACCAACTTCCCAGGGAAGTGGTCCTCGCCCCTACCTTGGGCAAATTCAAGAGGAGGTTTGATGATCACCTGTCTGGGGTCTTGTGAACCCAGCATTCATTCCTGCCTGTGGCAGGGGTTCAGGCTAGATGATCTGTTCAGGTCCCTCCTGACCCTAGCTACTACGAAACTACTATGAAACTATTCCTTTCTTTTTCTGCCATAAGTATTTCATTCTTTTGCCACACTTCAGACAAGCTGTCTGGGGTCCCAAATGCTTTCTTAACCAGAGTGCAAGAGGTTACACACCTGCTTCTTTTCTGTTAGTAAAACTATATCTGGGCAAAACGAATAACAGAAGGCTGTTTCCGTTACCTTGTGCAGATGTACATGGCCCCACAGGTACAAAGCCATTGCAAATCAGAACCCATAGGTTTATGGGTAAAGAAGAGTCTCCCCATCAAAGCAGAGAGGGACAAAATCTGAAGAGTTGAATATTCTGCTAATCACTAGTAAGAAAGTGGAATCCACTCAACAGCTTCAAGTTACAAAGGCTCCTCTATCTTTTTTGTCAGTGGGTGGAAGAAGCTGCTGGTTTCACTCCAACAGCAGCACCATCTCTCTGCACAGCCAACCATTACCCTGTCCTATCCCAGGCATGACTTCCTAAATAGCTGTGCTAGCCAGGCTCAACCAACTGCTTTGAAGCAGAGAAACGCTGTAAAATGTTGTATATGCTGTGTATTTTACAAATTTTGACTCAAAGCTGTGCATGTTCTGGGTGTTTGCAGAATCAGAGCCTTTGTACACAGTAACTTGCCCTGTCTTCTATGGCCCTAAGGTAGCAGAACTTGAGTGAGTCCATTCCATTGTCTCTATACCCATGGAGCATTAAACCCTGGGGGATCCTCTACAGAGCCTTTTGTCCTAGCACGTGAAAAGATGGAAGCATTCTACAGAAGTAGCACTACCCCATGCATGTTGGTAAGGAAGACATCTGCAGGGACCAATAATGCCTTTAGTTTTTACTTGATACTTACTCAGGCAAAACTACCATTCAAGTTTATTTAGATTTTTTTTGTCTGAAAAAAAGTAAAAATAATACTGTCAAAACTTGTGGATTTGACTCCCAGAGAGTTAATAGATGTGTTATACTAATCCCATTCAACTATTTTCTAGCTCTCTAAGGTAAAACTGGCATACCTTTATTTGTACCCACCAAAACGATGATAAAAATAGAGACGTGACTTGAAATAACCAAAGAAATGTAGATTTCTGAAATAGTATACTTTAGGCCTCAATCATTGACTCTGTATTGCACTGTCTAATGTTAAAAAAAATGTTGTTCAGGCTTGTTCCTAAATGTAGTTTAAAGGGTTCTCCTCCCTCCCACCCCAGGTGATTTTTTTTTTTTTTTTTTTTTTTTTTAATGATTGATGGTGTAAAACTGTTTACCAGGAGGTAGTTTCATTCTTGATCTTGGTTATGTCTGGCAAAACCTGTACATAGAAAAAAAAAATCAGTATATTTTATGGAAAAAAAAATCTTATTTTCAAATATATTTAACTGTTATATTTTATTGGAAGAAGGTTGTAAATATTTTAGGAGCTCTAGTGTAAAAAAAACAAATTGTACTGTTGGGTGTGGGAAAAGTAATGAAAATAAAACTACATGTTTAATGTAGTTGATTTATTTCAGTTATAGCTTCAGAATATTAGCATCAATCTTGCATGCAATTTAATTTCAGGATGTAACTTATTCAGATTTGCACTAGAATGGCTTAATTTCACAATCTAGTATTTGTTTATCTGTATTTTTTCTTGGATTCAGCATATGTGGTACATATCAAAAAGCACTATGTATAGAGTATTCAGTACTATTTCCTTTTGTAACGGTTGTATCTGTACAATCAAAAGGTTTTATGTAACATTTTGGCAAAAAAAGGACAGTATTTTCTAGTGAATTTTATACTTTTGATAAAATGTAGTTTTTTGGGTTTTGCTACCATGGTGAAAATTTCTTTTAATAAATTAATCTTTGTTTTAAAAAGTATAGGGGGGGTTGAAAACAAAGTTACATGTATGTAAAAATATATATAGTTACATTGTTGATGGCTTTAAAAGGGCATTCCTTAGTAAGTGGTAATTGGAATTCTGAACCCTTCCAGAAAGAATATTGTTTCCCTTGCATACACCTTCATTTTGGTAAAAAACTATACCCAAATATTCATGTTGGTCACATGATGTGGACGTGTTCAGAAAGGGAAAAACTGGATGATGGGCCATAATTCGAAAACAAAAAATAGTCTGTTTAACCCTGTTTTAGAAACATTTTTCTGTCCAATAAATACATGAACAACTCTGTCCTCTCCTCCTGTATTTGATATGCATTCTTGTCGCAACACATTTAATGCTGATGTAATTAATTTTGAAACTTCAAAATGTCCTACAGCCGGAATCCAAAGATTTCTTTAATGAATGAATATCTATCGGTAGTTCTAAATCGCACGTACACCAGAGAACTATCACCCAGTGAAAGACTGGATGTACAAGGAATACAGAAGTGTGTCTTACTGGTTTGTTTTTTTTCAGAAACAATGCCCTTTCTGCTCTGAATTCGCATACAACAACCCTACCCCGATTTATTTATTTTTTTACCCTAATGCCAGGATCTACAAAGAAATGCAAAGTTAGAAATGATATTTTGCTGTTACTTTTATATATTGCCTGTTTTTGCAAGTTGTGAAGTTTTTATTTCTAGAAATGCTGAGAGAAGTGAGGTGTGATATTAAAATGAGTGCAGTACCTTGGCAAGAGTAGGGAGATCATTTAATAAATAATAGGAAGCATGGGAGAGAAGTCCCCAGGGGGTGGGAACACATTTCAATATAGGTCATGCTTGGATAGAAAGCTTACAGGGTTGTCTGTGAATTGTCATAGAAATATAGGGGCCACAACTTATCGTCTAGTCCAGGCAAGATCAAAGATAGCTGAAGCACCCCCAGCAGATATTTGTCTAACCAGGGGTAGATCCAGAGGAGGTGCAGTGGTGTGACTGCACCTTCCTTCCTGATTATGCAGCCGGAACTTTGGGACTTATGTCCAGGACATAAATCCCAAAGAAAGTAAAAATTTCCCTCCATTCCTTTTTCTCTGTGGTCAGAGGCACATTCCCTCTTCTCCCCGTCATGGCCACTGCCTTGCTTGCCACTGCAGGTGTCCCTGCTATCCCAGGAGCAAGTGAAGCCCCTGTCCCACTCCAGCTGGGTGTTTCCCATCAGCCTGGAACAAGGCATGGAGAAACAGAACCTGCTGCTGCTGCCATCCCACGCTGAGCCCAGCCCTTGCACAGCCTGGCTGGAGGAGGATAGGACCTCCCCTTGCCCTTGGGACTGCAGGGACACCAGCAGTGACTGATGGGAGAGGGAAAGGAAGGGAAGGGACGTGCCTCTGAGCAAAGGGGAAGGGACTAGGGAAATGTTTACCTTCTTTGGGACTTAGTCACCACCTGCTGCTCCCAGGGCATGGTCTGCCTACCCCAGTGGGAAGTGGGGGACAGAAGAGACTGGGAGCAGAGGGTGCAGCCACCAGTGGAGGACTGGTTTCTGTTCCCACCCCACCCCCCCCTTATCAAATCCTGGATCTGCTTGTTTCTTGACTTATTTTTTTATAGCCTCTGAAGATGATACTGCCTGATCCAAAGTGCTTGTAAGCCCCTTGGTGTGGCTTCATCTGCTAATTTTATAGGTGTGGCTAAAGCAAATGAAGTTCTGTGGCAAGAAGAAAAGAGAGGTCACTCCACAGAAAATGTTATGGTAAAACTATGTCTTCCTAGTTATTCATTCATAGTTATGAATGAATAAGTTATGAATCCAAGTTCATCATGGGGGCACAGAAGGGAATTGGTGAGGTTTTATTCACCAAGGCGCCCCCGGGGGTTACAAGAAATAATGGCCACAAGCTAGCAGAGAGCAGATTTAGACGACATTAGGAAGAACTTCTTCACAGTTAGAGTGGTCAAGGTCTGGAACGGGCTCCCAAGGGAGGTGGTTCTCTCCCCTACCCTGGGGGTCTTCAAGAGGAGGTTAGATAGGCATCTGGCTGGGGTCATCTAAACCCAGCACTCTTCCCTGCCTGTGCAGGGGGTCGGACTCGATGATCTATTGAGGTCCCTTCCAACCCTAACATCTATGAATGAAAATATTGGATAGAACTGAGCCCAAGACAAATCCATGCGGGATCCACTTGAGATGCCCTCCTAGTTTGACGGAGAACATTGACACGTAGATCTTTAGAATTTATGTTTTTCAACCAGTTGTACATGCATCTGATGGTGATTACATGTGGTGATTTATAGACCATACCTCCTTACCTTGCTTAGGAAAGCCTTGTGTGAAAGTGTCAAAAGCCTCACTAAAAAAAAAAAAATCCTTGCCTTTTATGAAAGTCAAGATATACCAGTAATACTTCTGCTTTCTCTTTATCCACTAAACTAGTTACCCCATTAAATCAAAGTAAATTATTTTGATGTGATATGTTCATGACAAATCAGTGTTTGCTGTTTCTTTTATTTTTTTAAACACTTCCTATCTTCCAGGTGATTCCAGTATCTTTGCAGGTCTGGAATTTTATGGATCCCCCTCTTTTAAAAATAGGTGCCATGTTTGCTGTTCTATGGTCTCTGGAGCCTCCCACATCTTCTACAAATTCTCCAAGATGATTATTAGTGGTTCAGAAATTACTTTGGCTAGGTTCTTAAGTACTTTATGGGTAAATTTCATCGGGCTTTGCTGACTAGAGAGATTTTTCCATACTCTGGCCATACCCTGGTCAAATTAAAATTATTTTTTTAAGTATTTAGTAACAGTTTACCTTTTTGTGACTTAAAGCAGAGGCATGGGATACTTACCCTTCTTTTCATCATCATCTGCTTTATTATTTTGAAAGAGTCTTCCCTTTGTTTTTCTCTTCCTCCTAATCTATTTATAGCTCTTACTCCTAATTTATTTTTAGAATCTTTTCTTGCTTTCATGTTCCCTGAAAACTGAAACACATTTTGCCCTATTCCTTTATACTCAGTCATGTGTCTTTGCTTCCTTTTTTGGTTTTTAGTAACTGAGGTGTTCCAAATGCAGCTATAATGGTATTTCACTTTGCATCCGTTCTTTCCTTTATATCAGGAGTTTGTTGCAATGCATTTATGAGTCTCCTTCAATAACTGCTGGCTCTCCTGTACTTTTATATCTCTTGGGGGATGAACAAACATACCTTTGTAGCTGCTTTAAAAGGGGAGGGCAATAAACTGCCTTAACTTTGACCCTGGATGAAGAGGGTTAAAGCTAGAGTGGTTTTGCTACGCTTGTGTGCCTTACAGAATTGTCCAGATATTACAGTTGCTTTCTAACAGCCTGTATTCATAATCTTTAATAGTGATACAATTGTTATGTCTGTGTAGCCCAGTGGTGCACACCCCCTGACCCACAGGCCAGATCCAACCTGTGGGGGTTCTCAAGGGGCTGGAAATTAGGCAGCAGTGGCAGTGTTACTTACTGCTCTGCTGCTGCCAAATTTCTGGACCAAAGAGGAACTGCCTGGGCTAGAAAATGGGTGCATAAGGTCAGGCTAGCACACAGCCAAGTTATTGTCCCAAAAGACCCTACCTCTCAGTTCCTTGACATTGTTATGGTCTGCTTTTCTGAAGTCCATTGTCCTCATTCTTTGATTGATGCCTTCTTTGGTGGCAAACTCTTTATCATTTTTTATCAGTTTCATTCGAATTAGGTTCCACTTTGATTCTCAATCAATCCCTGTTAATCAGAATCAATGGCTGCACCTCCACCTTAAACCAAAAGAGAAGCCTCCAAAACCTGTGCCCTGCTACATTGTTGTTCCAACAGGGTATATAGTCTAGTCGAGTCAGTCCTGAGGCCACTGCAATTATTGGGGTACCTTAGATACCTCAGACCTGGTGTGGTGCCCATTTCCTCTCCAGACATGGATGGCCAGTGGCTCACAGGAGCTCATCTGCCTTTTGACAGGTCTTGTGTATAGTTCTGCTGGGTGTTCACACACCCTCCTCACCCAGGCTAGTCCAGGTGGGGACACCAGTTTAGTCACTAACAACCTGACCGTGGAACTGGCTGTACTGGTTTATGTAGTATCAGAGAGCCAACAAAGAGAGTAGGGTGATCATCTGTTAGGGCTGTGCGAAACGGCACCATTCCATTTTGACTTGCATTTAAATGTTTTGATGGAACAACATTTCATTTAGAATTTTGTTTCGATTCAACCGCTGGTCCATTTTGTTTTGTTGAAATAGTTTTGCTGTTTCCACATTTCACCCATTGGCTATAATGGGGAAGCTCAAAACGGCCTATAACTGTCATTTCTGGTCTGATTTGGATGAACATTGCAGGAATGATAGCCCTGTCTGAGGGCATGAAGCCTGCCAAGTTTCAGGGAGATAGATGCAGGGGTTTGGGGAAAACTGCACCTCAAGCTGCTGAGAAGCAAAAAACTTGTGACATGGGTGACACTGCGTGTATTCAGGCGCAGCAGAATAAAACCTGCAGGCCTGCTAGCCCCTGCTGAGGCCACGAAACCTGCCAGCTGTCAAGGAGATAGGTGCCGGGGCTTCTGGGGCCCTGCACCTCTGGCTGCTGACAAGCAAAACTTGTATCATGGGTGCCTGTGGGACTGTCTGTCTTGCAGCATAGCGGGGTGAAAAGTGCAGGCCTGCTAGGCCCGGAAGCCTGCCAGCTGTTGAGGAGATAGGTGCAGGGGCAGTCTGGGTTCTGGGGCCCTGCACCTCTAGCTGCTGACAGACAAAACTCGTGACATAGGTAGGTGACACTGTATGTGTGTGTTAAGGTGCGCCCTCACTCAACTGACACCAAGGCAGAAAGCAGAGCAGTTCAAACAATGCTGCCTTTTATGCAGTTTTTCCATCCCTCCTCCAGAGCACTGGGATTGGACGGGACCTCAGGGAAGGATGGCAGTCACTGGCCAGCTACACAGTCAATAATGAGAGTGCTCCTTCCCCCCGCCACCTTTGCCCCTCATCCCCCTCCCTCTCCTCACTTTAGTTTATGTTTCCTTGCAGGCAAGTCCAGCTTGAGCTTTGAAACTCCCAACATTTTGAAATTTTCAGAATGTTTCAACTTGCCTAGTTTCATTTAGAGGCTGTTTTGAAGCTACCCGTTTTGTTTCGATTTCAGTGTTTTGAGCTTGAAACGAAATTGCCGGCAAAATTTTGCACAGCCTTACCATCTGTCCCTAATTGGGTGGGACAGTCAGGGCTGCATGACCCTGGGACAGCATTTATCCCAGATTCAGAGTCTTGGGCAGGGGCTGCTTGGAGCAGGATACAGGGGGTGGATGCGGGCTGCCCACTGTAGGCTCGGGGCTCCCCACCCTGCCCCACGCTGGGCAGTGTTGGCTGTGCTGCCATGGCAAGGCACCCCCTGCCTGCCTGCCAGGAGCAGCGGCAGCAGCAGGGAGGTGCACCCCCTGCTGCTGTTGGGGGCGCAGGGCTCCTGAGGGAAAGGCAGCAAAGCGGAGAGCCCTAAGCCCGCATCTGTCCCGCTTGGATCTGGTCCAGCCATTCTGCTAGCAGTGGCAGAGGTGGAGGCTGGGGGGCAGAAGGCAGGCATGTGTCCTGCTTTCCCCTTTTGAAAAGGTGGTCACCCTACGAGAGGTGTGGCCTGACAGGGCCAACAGGGTATATGGGTAATCAAATCCCACAGGGCTTGTCCTGATCGTTACACAAAAAGGCCTTACTCACCTCCTGCTCCTGATTAAGCAGACCCATACTGCTCCACCTGTAAGCATAACCCCACCCCTGTTGTTTTCTCCCCCAAGATATTCATGAAGTGGGTTTTTAACCTCTCCCAGATGTAGCTACCCTTGATATGCAACACCAGTCCTCCTCAAAGATGAACCCACCCCATCACAGTGTGACCAGCTGTGTCATACTTTGTACTCAAAAGACTTGCTTCTTGTTTCTTCTCCCTCCTCCTGGCGCTTCTCTACTGCTCTGCATTTCTCCCAGCCCCATGACTCCTCCATTCTTATCACAGGCTCACAGAACATGAGGGTTGGACAGCACCTCAGGAGGTCATCTAGTCCAGTGGTTCTCAGCCGCCTTGTTGTACCACAACCCATTTATAAACAAGGACCTGTCCTGACCCAGTGCCCTTTGCTCCTGCCCCGCTGCCCCAGCCTCCTGGTGTGCGAGGCCGGGGGTGGGTGTGGAATGAACGTGTGCCCCCAGAGGCTGGCGGGGTACAACGACTGCCCTCAGCCGGTGGCAGCAGTGGCGGGGGGGGGCTCCCACAGGTGGCCGCAGTGATGTCGGCAGGAGGGTGGGGTTGGCGAGCGCTGACCAATAATCAGTGACCACCCATAGATGCCACCAGCAGCGTTGGTGGTGGCCAGTGGCAATCAGCAACCGCCCGCAGATGATGTTGGGGGGGAGGGGGGGGAGTGGTGACCGCCCACATGCATGTGTCACCAATGGGTTCTGGGGCAGGGTGTGTGCATGTGTGTGTGGGAGGCCAGGCGGTGCCCCAGCATCCCCTCGCAGGCCGGACCTCTGCCAGCTTGCAAGGGAAAGGGCACCATTTCCCATGTTTTTCTCCTTTAAAGGAGAATCCATCTGTAAAGTTTGTCTGGCACCCTTTAATATAATCATATAACCCACTTTTGGATTGTGACCCATGCATTGAGAAATAGGGTTACCAACTTTGACTGAAGCTATTCTGGGAGATTTCCCCTCCCCCGCCCCCACTGTTACATAACTCATTAATTTCATTTTCTTAAAATATCCTATTAAAATCTCCCAGGTTGCTTTCCATAGTCACTGGGAGACGGGCGATGATTCTGGTAGACTCCCGGCCACTCGGGGAGGGTTGGCAACCCTATGGAGAAACCCTGAGTCCAACCCCCTGCTCAAAGCAGGACCCTCTCCAACTAGATCACTCCAGCCCAGGCTGTGTTAAGCTGGGCCTTAAAAGCCTCCAAGGATTATTACCCCTTCTTTCGTTTAGTGCCAGCTTTGCTCACCGCCTCCTCTCAAGCCCCAGCCAAGCCTTCCTGGCTGCCCTGGGCTTTGCGCATTGGTGCCAAGGCGCAGGAACAACTGACGGCCGGGCTGTTTCAGGGGGACAGGGCTTGGGGAAACTAACCGTGAGACCTTGCGAGCGGGACATGCACAGGCCGGTCCCTGGCTCATGGGTCAGGAGCGGCAAGTCGGAGTGTATCCAGTCGGGGCCGTGGAGCACCGAGGCACGAGGCGCGAACGTGACGTAACCTCCCGGCCTGCGCTCCACACGCAGCCCTATCCCCCTGCGGCTCTGGGTCAGCGGCTGCTCATTGGCTCCTCCCGCCCCTTGGCCCCGCCTCCCGCCAGAGAACGAAACTGCGGGCCGTGGAAGGCGCGTACAGGCGAGGGGGTGGTGCCTGTGTCGAGCCCCGCCCCGTCGCGGCAGCAGTTAGTGGAGCTAGACCCAGCCGACCGCCTCAACGCCTGTGCGGGTGTACGCTGCGGTGGGGGCCGCTTTGGACTTCCGGGGAGGACTCGTTGGTGTAGCGCCCGCCGGAAGTGGCCGGAAGGAGCTTGACAGAGTAACGGGGAGGAACCGGTGTGGGACAAGATGGCAGCGGCGGCGCGGGGGGGGGGGCGCCCCCCGGGGGGGGGGGGTCAGCAGGCAAGGGGGAGAGGGATCCCGGTCCCGAGCGCCTGCGCGGGGGCTGGCAGCAGCCTGTCCCATCACCTGGCAGTTGGGGGTCCCGCGCAGCTCGGGGCTCCTGCGTCAACGCATGCGCTTCCCGAGCCGAACCCGGTGACGTCGGGTGGGAGCCGCGCGCCGGGCAGAGCCGCAGGGCAGGTGGCAGCTCGGGGGTGCTTAAAAACCTGCAAGGATGGAAGCTCTGTGGCAAGGGATGGGCGCTGTTTGGAGAGCGCGAGTTGCGGGATCTCTTTCCGTCATGGTTGCCTGATGTTTTTGGCCTGTGAGCTGGGTGGGCAGTGGCCGGTCTGTCTGCAGGCTGTCATCCAGCACTTCTATTGAACCAAGGGCATGGCTGGAATCAAGGTAGACAAGCTCTTGACTGCAAGGTGTTCTTCATAATGAAAGGGTTAGTCAGCATGTACGACAACTTCAATTTCGTAATTGCTCTTTTCATTTAAAGGCGGGGTGCCCAACCTCCTGCCTGTAGGCCGAATGCAGCCCACAAAGCCTTAGCATCTGACCCACAGGTCAGGGAACTTGAGGGTGGGGGAACAATGGTAGTTAGTAATGGCTGCCAAATTCCCATGCCTGCTCCTCCTGCACAGCCAGGGCATCACAGGGCCCTATCTTCCTGCATAGAAGGGGGCAAAGCCCTGACCTGACCTGGCTCCCATGGGGGAAGAGGGCATGACTTAGCCACAGTTTCATGGCATGGGGCAGCCTGGCCCTGACTTAGTGGCAGGGGGAAGGATGCTTGGCCCAGCCCCAATCTTGCTGTGCAGGGGGAGCATATGTGGGAGTTTGGCAGCCAGGGGAGAGTGCCACTACCAGCTGTCACTGCTCCCCCACCCTTAAATTTCCTGACCTGTGGGAGGGCCTGCAGGCCAGATATGGCTCTGTGGGCTGCATTTGGCCCACAGGCCAGAGGCTGAGCACCCCTGCTTTAAATTAAAGAGTGAATGGAGCAATTACAAAACTGAAGAAATTCAAGAGTTTGTCTAACTTAATTCCAGCCATGTAGTTGGTTCAATAAGAGACTACCCCCTAAGAACGCCTGTTGCGTTGTGATAGCTATACACTCAAATTCTATTTGACTATTTCAAACGAAGCTTAACTTTTATTTTATGGAGGCACTTGATGCCCTACTCCCTCTGTAGATTAGTGGCATGCTATCTGAAAATGTAATATTGTAGAAATAAAGCTTTATGGAAGTAAATAATACTAGAATTTGCAGTTTAGTACTGTTAGATGCCCTGACTCATTGCAATGAGTTTTAAAAAAAAAAACCGTGAAAGAACTTGAAGAAACAGTGAATTGGTTGCAAATGTTTGTATCCAAAATTAAGATTTTAAAAGCATAAATCCAAAGAATGTGATGTATGTATGCAGCAAGGTTAATCTGGCGTTTTATTAATTTTTACTTGAATAAACAATGAGTAAAATCAGATGATAAATATGAGTTTGTGATGCTCTCTGCTGTGGTAGTTTTGAATGGCAAAGTTTCTCCATTGCTTCCATTAAATCACTCTTCATTTCATCTTGCACTACATCCAACTCCTATAAGTATTGCCTTAAATCATGAAAGGTGGCAGATATTATGCTTATAACACATGGTATATACCATGGGAATGTTAACTGTCTGTATAATTCTCATATAGTTGCAAAATTATGCCCTTTGAAGCAAGGAATTCTGTAACAGGTCCATGCCCCAGGAGTAGCGGTGAGGCCTCTGGGGCACCCTCTCAGCTTTCTTTGGGCAATCTTCCCTTCAGCTAGCCTCCCACACCTTGATCTTGTTATGTCTTTAGAAAAGGGAGGCTGCCCTAGGGTTCCCCAAACAAGATCTCACTCATGGGCAGGGATTTCTTTTGGCTGGTTTTCTCTGCTTTAAAAAATCCCAAATTCTCTGATTT